TTTCTAACACCTTTGCGTAGACTTTACCTGGGAGGCTTAGTAACGTTATGCCCCTATAATTGGAGCATTAGATACTGAGTTAAACATGCAAAATATGGTATGTGAACATACCGTTCGACTCCGTCATCCCACCAGCCATGATCTACGACGGCGAATGCTGATTTTACTTCGAAAGCCGGTAGAAACAAGCAGGTGGTCATAGAAAAGCAATGGTGCCGAGAATAAGCAAGGTCTTTATCTCATGGATTCCCCTCCTAGTGCACAGATCGACAATCGGCTGGTTTGATGGATGTGTTTTCAGTAGTAAACGTTCGTAGTAATGTCGACTTGCTTTCCTGTGGCGTTCACGAAAATGAACGATTGGCAACAATATCGTATAATTTTAAAAAGACGCGTTTAAAATTCGAAACAAAATCGAGTTCTGAATCACTGTTATTATTCTCTTATTTAAATGCTATTATATGACATTACTAAGAAGTGACCTCTCATTTGATTATTGAAAATGATTTCGAAAAGGAAACTAGTTTTCACTTGATCACAAGACTATCAAATAAATGCATTTCGTATCCTGTGAATATGGAACTTTGAAGTTGAGCACAAGAATGATTCAGAAACTACATGTTGCGCAGCGTACTATCGAACGCTGCATGTTAGCGGTACAAGAAAGGAAATGACTATACAGAAACGAATCCATAGGTTTTGGTTAGCTGGTGTTTGCTTAAGGAAACTACAGTCGTAATGGACTGGATGCGTTTCAGAAACAGTTAGCTTTTGTTCGACAATGGAAAAAGGAAGGAAGCTTGGTCACCATTGGAATGTCAGTGGTCCTTCATTTTCATGTTTGAACGATTTTGGTGCCCTTCTTTTCATAAAATTGATGGTGCGTGTTGATCTCTGTTTCTCTGCCATCGATCCGAAGTGCAGGAGTGCCTTATTTTTAAAGGAAGAATCAGTAGTCACTTGGCAAGCGTGTAGTCTCTTGTTTTCTTCCCACATGGTGGAACTCATTTATCAAGTTTGGGAGAAAGAAGGGCGTATGACCCTGACCGAGGCTTGAACTTGGGACCAGTCGGTTCTGAGTTCGACGCCGTACCACTTGAAAAAACCCGGTATGGTAAAGAAGATTCGTAAATAAGACAAAGATTGCCCTCGAGTGAGATTGAACTCGACACCTCCGGATTTCGAAGCAGACCTCTTGGACACTGTGCCACCACCACTTCACTGTTTGGCCTTAACGGTTTTTAATTGATCCGTCTGACACGAGCAATACCGTTGTCATGATCAAGGCATGGCATTGTTAAGTTTGCTATTCTGGTGTAAACACAGCAGGCAAATGACTGGGTTGGGAGGAGAAACCTTTGGAAGATCGTCGTTCAGCAGTAGATTGGAACGTCCTGGCGATGTTGTTGTTTTCTTGATACAAAATCGCTAATTAGTGACGGCAATGAAGCGAAAATGAGTGTTTTGTCATAACGAAGCCTCCGTGCAAGCGTAAGATAGATACAAGTATCCGATTGTAGTTATGGTGATGACGATAATCATGATAACTTTACACTGATGATTATATATTGATTCATAACTAATGACATCCAGACGGGGATCTGCATCCCAGCAAACTGTTGCAATCATGGAAGTATGCGAGGGAATGACACCCTGATAGTTCTGAACTTGCCATTTCCACTGCCATTCAACGTTCGTTCTTTTGTTCAACGTGTGTTGTTGTTTCAGTTTGAAACGTCGCTGTTCGTCTCATTCGCTGAACAAGTTGGACGCGGACGAAAATGAGGTTCTCCTAACCAAAAACGATTTCATCTTGCATTTCAACCTCGAGGTACTGCACATATCTGTGATTGGCTAAATAATGTTTGTCACCTCGTTGCAGGTTGTCGTGTTAGAGGTACAGAACCTGAAGTCGGTGGCATCCAGTCGACTGGTCTACTGTACAATGGAAGTAGAGAACGGCGAAAAGCTGCAGACCGGAAGTGCCGAAGCGTCGAATCCGGTGTAAGTATAGCATTGATTTTTGTTATCGACACGATTGCTAATCTGTTTTCATCGATTTCACCTCGTTTTGGTACATACTGCTCCAGATAACTGCAACAACGAAATTCAGAAATATTTTTTGCCCTTCTTCCTAATTTTTTTCGTGGAATTTAGGCAGAGCCACCAGTCATTATCTTTCGCAGATGAAAACTAGAAGTAGACTGTCGTTACGGGCTGACATCTTTGAACTTCCGGCGACTTTTTAAACTGTGGCTAGACCCATTTAACCGGTCAGTAAAAAAGATTACCATACTGAAAGCTACTGCCTTCTCAGTGTTGATGTACCTCTTGAAAATATCCACCCTTCTAAAGCGCCATGAAATGATGTTGAACACTTGTTGTTTTCATCAGCGCCGTATGCGAAACATTCTGAAATTGCAGTGATTTAATGAAATGAATAATGAAGATTTTGGAGACGACCGGGTCGGAAAATCTTGTTTGAAGAAATGAGCGACTGGCTATATCGTGGTTTCAGAGAACCCAGAACCATTCCGAGAATGAATGGACATTTATCAAAAACAGTTTTCTTCTGGGAACCAAAAAATCGCCGCAGACGTGTCACAGTTCAACATCGCCTGAGAAATCGTCCTGAGAATAAGCCAATGTGTCAGATGTCATTTAGTGGCTACTCTGTTTTTGACCCTGATGCCCCAGATGACGATGACAACAATAGCAATTTTTCCTTTATTTACAATCAGCTCTCCGTGTCTCTAATTTCGAAATTAGTATCTGCTGTTAGATTTCGTTTCCACTACTGCGTCCAGTCTTCTTTTCCAAATGATGTTCGTTTACCCATATCGTAAGGATGATGTACGACTGGCCTGATCAGGATCTGAACCTCTGACCTTCGATTGGCGTTTGAGGCTGAGCTACCCAGACATCCTATGCAGGCAAAGGCTAGCATTGTGTAAGAAGGTTCGTGAAATATGGATCAACAAGAGAGTTCATTTATAATATCTGCCACTCTTTTAATCAGTTTTGATTTAATTGTTGCGAATGCCTTCCAGAAAGGAAGGCTAAGCAACTGTTCCTTACAAATCTGACCGGCAAAAGGCCCAGGGGACGGCCAAGA